ACATTTGTCGATTTTTTTTTTAATGCACCTAATTATATTTCAATTTAGAGTTATTTTTAGTACATAGTTTTTCTAAACGAAGATGTTTTAAAGATTTCTTTAAATAAATATTGATCCTTTTCTTCCGCCACTTATATAATTGATCTTCACTGGAACTAACACCAAACGAGAACGAATTTAGGATGAAAGTCTCTTTTTCTGGAAGATCTTTGCGGCAACAAAATTTGGATATTACTAAAAGAAAAAATCATCTATGATCAAGCTTCAAAAAGTAACATACGTTAATTGAAAATGTTACTTATGCATGAAGTATTTGTTTTGTCAAACTTTGCTCGCTAGTTTAAAACCAAAAAACACAGTTGTACTAATCAAGCCAACACAAAAAAATATACAAAAATAAAAATGGATATATGGAGATAAAAACAAAACAGAAAGTTAACATATTACCTACTTAATAAAAATAAAACGACAAGAAACGTTGCCACTTTAACCAAATTGGTTCATGGGAGATTGAGAGTGGTGGTCTTAAATAAGCGGCCATCTTCAAGACCGACGAACACTCAAAACAAATGTACCATGTTGTAGTCCTTGGTATCTGTTTCGGCTATACTCCAAACTATACTTTGTGTCAGAAAATCTATCGGCTTGATAATAAAATAATTTAACTTCTTAACATTCTATAGTACTCTTATATGAATTTAAGTTATATTTGGTTTACATACTCAACTACGGTTTTTGTGGTTTTGATATATTTTGTTTGAATTAGGCTTGATATGACCAAGACTCGGTTTGGCGTAGGTTACATCAAGGGTTCTCCCCATTTCCGCGTAAGTAATTACACGAGAAACCAGAGATAGAATATAGAGTGAGATGACATCAAAAAAGCAAAGTAGATCATCAACATATCTTGGCGGTTCCAAGTTGTAAAGTCTGGATAAAACTATGACTTCGTTGTTGACGAAATGACTATGGTTAATCAGATTACAATAGATAATTGGTCTGGTTGTTTGCGTTGGTGTTCGAGATGTATACTATCAGAGGAGGACATTGTGGCAGCTATACATCTATGATATATATTGATTCAAACGCTTAAGTCGAGAAGAGAGAAAGAAAATAAAAAGACATAAATAAAAACTAAATTAAAATTTATCCCTTCGTTTACCGAGAGAGATACATAGAAAAAAAATGATTCACTCTCATTTGATTCGTCTTCTCGAAATTTCTCCTATGTGCAACTTATCTGACGAATCGTTCATGTCTCATTGCTCGCATCTATTTGCTTGATGTCGCTTACTAAGACACAATGATTTTGATTTATGTATATATATCGGTAAAAGAATTTTGAGATAATTCAGCCTTTTGGCTTTCATATGTTTCTTCTTTGATCAATTTCTTGACCAATGTTAATTTCTTCTTTGCAGATAATTCAACCTTTTGGCTTTCATCTCTTTCTCTTGAAAGTTTGTTCCCTCCTAACCTCCGATGTCTTTGCCGCTCTCGAATGTTCTATAATTCTGCCTTAGAGATGCTCTCCTCGTCCAGTCTTCCATATGATGATTTTACCAAATGGTTCATCGTGCAACATCTGGCCAGAACCGTGCTTAGAGATATGGAGGGCGGAGGCGATATTAAAAATAATATCTTCTATTAATGTTAAAAAAATTAACACCATCATCCTCCAATAATAATAAGTAACTAGAGTAATAAAAGAAAATTATTATAAAACATAATTTTCGAAAATTGAAATTAAGAATCTAGAATTTCAAATCTATTTTAGTCTATAGTTATCAAATTCTAAAACATGCTTTGTCCATTCCGAAAAGAAAAAAAAATACTAGATGAAACAAATTATAATGAAAAAGATACTTACCAATTGATGATGCTTATATTTTCTTAAGTTTATTTACTATTTTAGAAAACTTTCATTAACTTTTTTCATTAAAAGCTTATTTATGTCTCTCTACTCATAAAATATGTCTTTGGCTTTTTTTTAGAAAATATAGGCCTTAAGCCAATGTTTCAATATCATAAACATAAGCACGGGTCTGCATCTAGTGGACTTAATATCTGATTCATTCTCTCCGCTACAACTCAAAATTGTGCCGGTTAAGCGCTCATACAATCTGCTCCAGGCAAATGGAAAGATCTGTTATGGTGTTAGCAACAAATACAACATATCCGTCATCATCTATTTCTTGGAGTTTTAGCCTCGTCGTCCTCCTAACGTATGGGGAAATTGCCTAGATGATACGATCATCAAGGCAGGTGTCACTTCTTCTGGTGAAGTCACTCATCCTTATCTTCGGAATTTGGGCCATAGTTCCAACTTAGTATCACTCTTCATGCAACTCAACGACAAATTTACTCTTATAAAACATTTCGTTTTCCCTAATTTCAATGGACGGCTTTCTCTTGAGAAGGTATATACAATGTCCTCATTTTATTGGTTGCTCAATTCTTGTACATCCACGTACATGGAAATATCCTTTATAGCGTTCGTGGAAAAATCAACTACGTCCTTGTCATCATCTGGCTCCTCGTGTCTTACCCTCTTGGATAGTCCCAGCAATTATGTCATCGTGGATAGTCCCAGCAATTATGTCATCATGCAAAATCTAGTAAATGTCGCTCCTAGTGGTATGGTCTGTCTTCCTTATCTCCAGAATTGGGATCGACTTAAATCCAGAGCCAATCTCGTAGGACTCATCTCGCATCTTAGCGCCGAATTCACTTGTCAACCACCTTTCAGGCCCCACTCATGAGCAGATTTTTTATTTATGTATTTTTTTTTATCTAGTTTCATGATCTCTTTTGCATTCTTATTGCTTTGTTTACGCCTAACATGAAATAAAAATTTTAGTGGATGTCTATGCAGCAAGGTTTAATGATTATTGTGTAAACAAGTTCTGAAGATTTATGTGGGTGACTCATATATATACAGATCTAAAAAGGTCCAACCAAACTCTTAAGGGTGGTGGGGATTACAAGTTCATTCAATTAACCGTTACTGATCTCTGAATACATTTCTGTCGCTTTTCCTGCTTGTTATTAATATTTTGTATGAAGAACCATTAGACTGTGGTTGGTTTCTTAGGCCATCTCCAGTGGAGGGTTCTAAAAAGAGTAAGGCTTTTAAAAAAATAATAAAAAAAGAAAAATATTGAAAAAAAAAAAGAGAATGAAGAGGAGCTCTTATATAAGAGCACAAGATTTTAACCTGCTGTATACCGCAGAACAATTTGTTTTTAAAATTAAAAATTTTAAAATATTTAAGGGTTATATATATTATATATAAAGTTTACAAATTGTATCATTTTATAAGAAATTTATATTTTCTAATTTACAATTGTTATTAAGTAACGGTATACCACGAAATAATTTTGTTTTATACAACTTTATTTTAATTAGGATCATTCGATATGTCTAATATTTGTAGTGTTAAAAAATAATAACATAAAGATTTAACTCTTATTGAAAAAGCAGGTTAATAATGTTTTTAATTTTTTGATTCAAATCCGTTCCGTCATATAACCATGTCATGCAATATAACTTTCTTGTATTATTTTAACTCTTTATATATGTTCAAATGTTCTTAATATTATTAATTTTTAATTATTTTAAATATATAAATTATAGTATTTAAAACTTCTTAAAAACTTCTTAATGAATAATTTATTTTTAAAATTAATAATTTTTTAAAATTTAATGGTTATATATTATATATAAAAGTTTGCAAATTGTATCATTTTATATGGCATTTATATTTTATAGTTTACAATTATTATTAAATAACAGTATACCATGAAATAATTTTTGCTTTATAAACTTTACCTTAATAAGGATCATTTGATATGTCTATTATTGGTGGTGTTAAAAATAATAAAATAAAGATTTAACCCTTATTGAAGGAGTGGGTTACTGATGTTTAAAATTTTTTTGATTCAAACTCGTCTCATCATATAACAATGTCCTGCAATATAACCGTCTCGTGTTATTTTAACTCTTTATATATGTTCAAATGTTCTTAATATTATAAAATTTTTATTGATTTTAAAAATATAAATTATAGTAATTAAAATTTCTTAAAAACTCGTCATGCCATTTAATCCTGTCTCGCAATATATCCCGTCCCTGGTTATTCTAACTTTTATATATGTTCAAATATTCATAATATTATAAAAAAATTTTATTTTAAATATATGAATTATATTATTTAAAACTTTTTAAAATTCTAAAATTCAAACTTTAAAATTCGGATATTTGTTAAGTTAAGCTCCATGTTCATTCAGATTTGAATTCATTTTGATCTTATTTATAATATGATTATGAATCATAACATTTACGCCAATATGGGACGTTGAATATATACTTTTTCATCATCAATTGGGTAATATATATCCGTTTTTCAAATTTTGAATCACAATATATGCAGAAAAAATAATTGAGATTTTTTAAACTTCATGTATTATATGATTATTCAAAATAGTTCAAAAAAAGTTCAAACAAAGATGATAGGAGATCATAAATTTAAATCTTAACCAAATTTTCTAAATATCTATATTTTTAAACATGGAATATTCGGTACACAATTTCGGATATGTTTTGACCCGATCCAAAAAATATAGAATATCCGGTGTAAGATTTTGAAGTAAATTTTGTATCGAGTCGGTTACCAAAAATCTCCGATAAAATTTTAACCCATCCGATACAAAATGTACTTCAAAAATACTAGTATAGATGAAGAGGAGCTTTTAATATTCACTTTAAAAAAAAATTAATTAATTACATAATAAAATAATCATTTTTTCTTTGTTAAGAGGCTTTTTAGAAGCTCTTATTGTTGGAGATGGTGTTAATGTGCCCTTATTGTTGAATTTTTATGATAAGACTCGGAAAATCTATGTTAGGCATTCAAATAAAAATGGAGCTGCAAAAAGTAGGAACTAAAGAGTTAATATGTTGCATAAAGAGAAGAACAAAAGAGCTGAGGTAGCAAGTAAAGAAAATATACGTGTAGATATAATTGCAAATGAATGTATGTAAAGACAGAGTCAAAACTCACAACGGAAACCTCTTCTTACAAGTACATAGATAGAAAATCAACAAAATAATTATAGGTGAATACTAGATCGATTAGATTCTTAATACATATATAATGGGATTAGATTCTTAATACATAATGGGACGATAAGATATATACTTAAAATACATAATGGTGGGCTTTCACATCAAACACTTGACTTCAAGCGACATATGCTGTGGTAGTCCATCCGTTGTTCTTCTGATGATAGCATTGCAGTCTTGACTGCAAATGCATTTGAAGTTCATGTAGAAGATTGCATTCTCCGCCTTGGCTTTCTTCTTAGACTCCACATCTGCCCTGGTTTGCACAATTATCTTTCTCAGCTCAAATGTCTCTCTCCACACTGGTGAGGGCTGCAAAACAACAACATCAAGAGATCAATATTAACCTAGACAAATTCCCCTCCTCATCTTTGTTTTTTTTTCTCACATGGACACAACGCCACTTGGTGCGCGAAGCGAGATCCACGTACAGATGAAGCCAATCCTTGTATTCTTCCACCTCCGACTCTGAGAGCTGCAAAATCAAGTCAACAACATATATCACATTATATAGTCTCAAGATATGCATGCTCTCCTTTGAAGAGGGAGGGGCTCACACCTCGTAGTATTGCAGGTTATCACTGGTATTCTCAGGCATCGAGTTGGGCATATCACCTTTGAAGAAATCATCCACGGCAAGTTGGTCAAAGCGAGTAGGGTAGTGATTCTCCTCTGAGGTATATGGACATGACCGGTAAAGATCAGACACAATAAATATAATAATAATATAACAAGAGAGGCCGGTGTTTACGAATTACCTGGCAATAATGTGCATTCCACTGTAATGAAACTCAAGCAGCCTTGATTCTCAGTCTTAGACTGAACCACCCTAGTTAAGAACTCGCACTTGCGAGTTGGATCGGTTGCATAGAATTTTATAAGCTTATAAAATAATCCGGTAAGATGGTTCTCGTCTAGCCTGACAAATTTAAAGTTTGTCCCCTGCAAAGATGAAAATAACAACAACTTATACAAAATATATACAAAAACCAATAATGGTAGACACAAAGGAAAGAGATAATTTACATTTAGCAGATTGTAGCAATGAAGTCCAACTTTACCAAAAGTCCCTTCGTATCCACAATCCTGATGGAGAGAGTCAAAATCAAAATCAAAATAAAAATATATATGGAGGAGTACCTCCTTAAGAACCCCAAAGTATACATAAAACAAAAATTACCATAGGTACAAGGTTGGAGGGGAGAGGGGGTTCATAGACAACAACATCATCATCGTAAGGTGGTAGGTCAGGTGGTGCATAATAGTCAGTAACATCTGCGTCAGGTGGTCCATAATAGTCATAACGGCTGGGAGAAGTTGGCTTGTAAGGTTGAGGTTCGGGCGGCTGGTAAGAAGACTGTTTAATGGCCAAGTAATCTTGAGGAGAGAACAAGTATTCAGTTGCATCGCGAGGTGGCCAAGAGGGAGAGGAAGTTTGTTGAGGTTCGGGAGCCTTGTAAGAGTTTGCAGTGGTCAAGAAACGGTAATTGCTGTAGAATCTTTGCCCTTCCAGCTGATCTGGGTATGGTGGTAAAGCGTCATCGAGTCCCTTCTTACAAAAAAAAAAAAAGTATCATGAGAATTGATGCAAATCTCCCATGAGACCTACCTATGCTATGGGGGATCCACAATAGAAATCCAATTACCGTAAGACTCAAGGGGTCACTGGTGGCTTCTTGCTTCAACGGGACGTTAGGCATCCTTGGAGCCCTAAATTCTGATAAGAGGATTAGATTCAATTAAAAATCTCAAAACCACAATTAGGGATTCCGAGAGACTAGTGAAACGCCAAATCAAATAAGAAAAGAAACCGACAATCAGTTATTGGACAATCATTATGAAATCTGGTTTGATTTCGATTTGACTTGATTAATTTTATTTCATTTTTGTTTCAGAACGCAGCATTAATTTTAACTTTGTACATAAAAATATGTTATGCATATAGAGAGACTTACAGGTCTCCTCACCAAAGGCAAACTACTTTTTGTTCGTCAAGGAAGATGTTTGATTTCACTTGGCGTCCTAACAATTTATTCGTCCTCATCTTCGATTTATGTGTTGATTTTAATTACTTATAAAAATATAATTAATGTTTGCATTAAGTAATTTTAATTCATTCAGCTTATATGGTTCAGTTACAAATATTAGAGTTTGGGCTTTGGGGTTTCGTTCGATTTTGAGGTGAGAAATTTCGGTCTGGTTCGGTTATAAATTTTTTTCTAACTAATAGTAACCTCTGTTAGTGAATATTTCAGGGAAATCATGTTGGAGTACTCCAAACGAATGATGAAGTTAGGAGAGCTAATCTTTGAGCTTTTATCAGAAGCTCTTGGTTTAAAAGCTAACCACCTTAAAGAGCTAAATTGCGCAAAGAGTTTGTCGTTGCTCTCCCATTACTACCCACCTTGTCCAGAGCCTGATCGAACCTTTGGCATCAGTTCACACACAGATATATCTTTTATTACTATTCTTCTTCAAGACCACATTGGTGGACTACAAGTTCTCCATGATGGTTACTGGATAGATGTTCCGCCAAATCCCGAAGCTCTTATCGTTAACCTCGGAGACCTCTTACAGGCAAATACTTTTAAAGAAACTTATACACCCAATCAAATCTTCCATGTTTTGACAAATCTCAAAACGTTTTTTTTTTTTATGGTTGCTTATAACAAACGATAAGTTTGTAAGTGTGGAGCACAGAGTTTTGGCAAATAAAGGCGAAGATCCTCGCAGTTCAAGCGCATCTTTCTTCATGTACTCCATACCAAATGAGCAAGTATATGACCTATTAAAGAGCTTCTATCTGAACAAAACCCTCCCAAGTACAGAGACACAACCACGACCGAGATGGCGAGACATTACTTGGCTAGAGGACTCGATGGGACTCACCATTGCTCCACTTTAGGATCTGAAAATAATGGTGGATTCAAATCTTAGAGAATCTCTACAATAAAACTACAAGAATACATGTGGTAGTATGTCTGTTTCACATATATTATTGTCTATCCAATAATCTATAGACTTAAACCATCAGTATCATAACTACTTCATTTTGTAGTTCTTGAGTTGAGATAGATACTGTGTTGATTTCTAGGTACTCTATACATTTTCTTCTGTTTTTATTTTTGGTATGAGTTTTAGTTAAAATATTTGTTCATGTACAGACTAGTCAAGATCAGAAGAGTATATTACCTCAGTGGACACTACTCGATGTTCAAAAGGAAATGACTGACATAGATTGCGCCGAATGTCGCAGATGTGATATAGCTGTGTCCCTTTCAGACTCTTCCACTGTTCCAAGTCTCCTGCAAAATAACATGTTTATGCATTATTGGTTACTATCTTCACATCCCAAAATTGTTTCAGTGTGATCTAACAAAAACATAAGCACATTTCGAATTTTCATATATCCCACTGCATAAGGAAAGAGAGACATATATACCTTGGAGGAATGAAATCTTGACCACCTTCTTCTGAAAGTGCCATCTCTAATCTCTCTTCGAATGGTGTTGCGTGCCAACTCACTTTCTGGTCCTGCATTATAAAAACTAACTCATACATTCATAATAAATGAGAGGAATGTGCAGAAAGCTTAGAGATTCCGAAAGAAACATGAGAGTACCTCTTTGTACTTGTTTGTAGAGTTTGGTATCCCATTACCATCCCACCATTTGGCTGAGATTTGTGATTGCTCTTTCTCATTCCAATGCGCAGCAACCATTCCAATGATAGGTCTGTCTCCAGGAGTTATGGAGAAGGCCTCCATGTTTTTGTTACTCTTTTTTTTACTCTGCTTCACCCAAGGAGAGCTACTAGTTTCGAGGTACCTTTCATCTGAACTCTCTACCAACTTTCCCTCACAAATTGTTGATGTGGGAGATTCATTTTCTATCTTCTCTTTACAAGCTTGAACTTTAGCTTGTTCTAGGCTCGCATTTGAATCTTTTGGGAGCTTACATAAGGAGGCATTTTCAATTAGATTGGAAGCTGAATGCACAAAATGCGACCTGATTCTAGGTCTCTCTCTTCCTGCTGATTCCATATTTGCAGGCAAGATGGTTCCAGGGGTATCACATAGCTTCAATGAGGTCAGATTAGGCGAGGTTGCTGAGATAAAAGTTTTTCCAGCCATTTCAGGTTTCCTTGAAGTGCTGTTTTTGGAAGAACTAGAAGAGTGAGATTGATCAAAGTCTATTTCAGACCGCACTGACTTTGTCTTTTCTGTAATGTTTCCAGCTTTGAGTGTCGCCTTGCCGGTTCTATCCACCTCATCCCTGAACACAGTACCAATGCTTTCTTGACTAGCATCACTAGATGCAGAAGAGATCCTTGCATTGTTCCGGACATTGGTCAAGCAACTGATATTGACAAAAGAAGAAAAGGAGTTAAATCCCAGATCTATGGAACCTCTAAAACTTTTTGCCTGATGTAAGAATTTATGTTAGGATATGCAAGCAATCATGCCAGTTCTCGAAATTTGGAAGGAGAACTAAGATTATTTAACTTAACAAAAGATTAGCTAAAAGATATATTTATCTAGCAAAGTAACAATTAGCAGTTTCACCTGCTAGGAGTTTGCTCTGAAGTATCTAATGATCTTCCCATTTCTTCATAGGGCTCATTCTTTTTCTCATCCAAGTGAAACACTGCATCAGAGTTACTGGAAATCCAAGAAGGGGAAGACCCTAAATGTTCACCACCTTGAGGGGTTTCCAGTTTATTGGATGCTTTCCTAATTTCAATCGGTGTCGCTGGTATCTCGCTGGAAACTTTAAGAAACTGTGCCTGTTACTCCACAAGTAAAGCAAAGTGAGGTTAGGTGGCAATCAAATTGTGTTTTACATGCAAACTAATATATCTGCCAAGTACTAAGCGTCATCTTTAACTTGAGAAGAATAACTCAGATAATTTCCTCAGTAAAGATGCAGAGACTAATGCAAATTAAGCATTGTGATGCATGGATACATAAGCTACATTCATCCAAATAAGCATTTTTGTGAATATGTTCTTTATAAATAATTGAGTTCTAAACCCAACACCTGAAATAACTAAGCACAGCAAAAACAGAGGAAAATAATATCAAATATATAAGGATGAAAAGAGACAAAAAGAAAACAAAGCCAAAGGTTGTGAAATGTACAATGTATTCATGATAGAAGAAACAAAGTAATAGAGTCTAGACAAACCTCATCAAAAAACATAAAACACAGAACAATTCTTCTAATTCCGCAAGAAGAGCTTTAGCTCAAGAATCACATATAAAGCAAAATAAGGACGTGTCTCAACTCAAGCAAACATAATCAACCGAGAATTCCAGTAAAATCAGAAAATTGCTAACTAATTTCAAGGAGACAAAGTCTTAATCGTGAGTGATTAGATTCACAGATTTCTTAGCTTTGATTTGTCATTTGTAGTAACATACCTCATCTTTCAGATCTTTGTCAATATGCGTAGAATTCAAACTAGATCCCTCTCTGTCATCATGACAAGGCGACGAAGCTGCGTTCTCTACCAAATTAAAAAAAAAAACCTTTGTTTAAAACCATAAGAGATATAACATCAAATCAAAGAAGAGATTTATCACCTTCAGATAGAAACAAAGCTGACAAACGATTCTTCGACTCATGACCTCTCTGACAATCATACAAAAAAAAGATGTTAATACTGAGAATTAAGAATGTTCACAAGTGATTCTACTTCTGAGGATTGTACCAGCTGAATTGCAAAATATCAAAAGATCTGGAAAACAGAAGGAAACGATGAGAATTACGTTGGATTTGGCTTGAGAGACGGAATCATTCGTAGATTGGTCGTCTCTAGCACGAAAGCAACCGAAGAGACAACCCATGGCTCTCTACTCAACAAGCCAATCCGTCGCGAATTTTATAGCAATTATGAAGCGTTTCTCTAATGTCGTAATTTGAATTTTATTGGTGGTAAAAAAGGAACAGCGATGGAGGAACCTACCTACAACATAATACTCAATGAGGAGGGAAAATATTTTCCCGAGAAAGTGAGAGAGAAAGAGAGTGTTGGTGATGGTGGTGGTGGGTCTGAGTCTCTGAGTCTTTTGTTTTCAAATTTGAAAAATCCCAAAAGAGCTTTTGCGAGAGATGTGTGTGTGTGAGCTTCGATTTTGAAATGGCATCAAATTTCGAATTTATTATTTAATGTTCATAATTTCGTACGTTTTCTACACTCGCGGGCGCGTGTGATCCTACGTGGGCCAATCAATCCTCTTCGTTCGTTCTAATATTTTTAGTTCTTTTTGATATGAATAATAAATACTTCGATCTATATATTTTTGGGAAAAAACTCGAAAAATCTCTGGTTTATTTTTTATTTGGATGTTTAATACCCAAATTTTTATGGTTGAAATAAAAAACACATAATAATTAAAATATACAATTTAATATTTATAAAAATCTAATGTTGTTATTTTCATACTTACGGTTTTATAAAAAAAACAACCACTTTTACCCTTACAATTAAAATAAATCATTAATTTTAAATGATGTGACAATAATTTTAAATTTTATTAGAATAAAAAATAATTTATATTTATATTTCGTTTTACTAAAATTATTTTCTTTATAAATTTCAAAAAAAACATCTGAATAAATGAAATAAAAAATGTCGAAAAAGAAAAAATAGGAAGAAGAATAGAGAATCGAATAAGATGTCGACTGAGTAGTATGCATTCCCAAATTGTGTTTGTTATTCTTTGTATCCTTTAGCAAAAATCGATTAAGAACTCAATTTGATATCAAACCCAGAAATTTTGGTGTTATTAGAGAAGATATAAAGCTAGGAATTCGGAAAAAAATAAAATAAATCCCGTTATGAATAGAAATCAACCGAAAGCAAAACACATAAATCATTGCTATTGAAATTAATCTGAAGAACTTGACGATTTGAAATCGAAAATAACAAAGGCATAGGACCAACCAGTCAATTCTCTCTATTTTTAGTCAAATCTCTTTCTTTTCCAGATTTGTTTTTTTTTTCTAATTTATAAATAAAATAATAAAATAATTTTAATAAAACGAAATATAAATATTAATTATTTTTATTCAAATAAAATTAAAATTATTGTCATATCATTTAAAATTAATGATATATTCTAATTATAAGGGTAAAATTAGAATTTTATTTTTGTTATAAAACCATAAGTATGAAAATAACAACATTTTATTTTTATCGGTATTAAACCGTATATTTTAATTATTATGTATTTTTTCTTCCGATCAAAAAAATTTGTGTATTAAAAGTCTAAATAAAAAAAAGAAACGAGGGTTTTTTCGGGTTTTTTCCCATAAATTTTTGAGTCAATAAATTCAACAACAATTTTCTAATATTTTTAGCTATTTCTAATGTCTAGGCATAAAATCTGAAATCCGAAATCGAACCGTAGAGTCACAAATTATGAATTCTTTTATCCAAATTATCCTAACCGAACCAGATCCGAAGTGAAAACCGAAAAAATTTCTGAAAACCAAAATAAAATTATAAATCCAAAAATATTGGTTATATATTTAGTTATAATTTTATACTCAAAAATACTAAATAACAAAGATATCCGAAATAACTTAGGTATCCAAAAAAAAAAAGTTTTATTTATTAAAATTATACATTTTTGCAAAATTTAACCAAATTTTAGTAAGATTAGACCAATTTTTATTCAAGTTGAAAAATTTTTTACTTCTTCCTTTTTCCTGAAAATCGATCGAATCCGACCCTATCTGAACCGAAAAGTCATAAAATCCGAACGGATAATAAACTCTCATATTCGAATTATCCGAATCCAAAAAAATCCGATCTGAAATCTGAATGCCTAGGCCTAACTGTAACATTGAAAAGAAAAAAAAAAATTGTGATTGTGAGTGTGAGTAGTTTGTATTGAGTCTTAATGTTGATGTTTAGTGTTGAAACTTGTTTAATGTTATACTTGATGAATTCAGATTGGCTTATTGCACTTAAGATGTTTGTAAAAAAATTTGAACCGACTTAGCTATAATAAGAATTGATGTGAAGATGTTTTGTGAGTTCAATGGAGTTTACTGCCATGGATGCTAATTATTCTATTTTCAAATGAGATTTTAGCAAATTTAGATAATTCAAGTTGATTAGTGCCTTAAAAGATTAGTTGTAGCTTACTGATGTATGCTTTAGGACTATGTTAAGTTAGACGCTTGCACCATTTTAATAATTGATTCATGCTATTTTAGTATTACTGTAATCGATTGGATGTTTTAATTATCGTCTAATTGGTAACTATTTTTTTTTTCTACTCTTCTTGCTTATTCACTTGTTTAATTTTAGTTTCTTGTTTAAATAGTTTCTTCAGTAATTTAGGAAAATAAAGAAACCATAAATCGAATCTAGTCTAGATTAAGTTGTGAGATCTCATAAGTTTGATAGATGAATCCTTTTTAGTTTCTTGGGATTCAGTATCCAAACGTGAGTTTGGTGTGTAAATATTTTTTTTGTTCTCATGGGATTTGATACTTATGTATTAACCTACACTTCTCATGGGATTCCATACTTATGTATTAACCTTACAAAATCCTTTGAAAACCCTTGTAATAAATCTTTTAAGATTTTTGTAAATCTTTCTAAAACTCTTATAAAATCCTTTTAAAATCATTATAAACCCTTGTAAATCCTATAAAAACTTTTGTAAAATTTTTTAAAACTCTTTAAAATCTTAACACTTAAAAACTCTTTTTAAAACCCTTATAAATCTTTTTCAAACCTTTGAAAACACTTGTAAATCCTTTCAAAACCCTTATAAATCTTTTTAAACCCTTTTGAAAACACTTGTAAACAGGGGCGGATCCAGAACTTATTTTAGTCCGGGGCACAATTTTTTACATAAATATTTTGTTTTATTTTTTATAAATTTAACTTATTTTCTTCTATATTTTGAAAATTTTTCACTACTATTTCATTTATCATTTTGAAAACATATGTTTTAACAAAATAAACTAAACAATGGTTTAAAATTTGTTTAGCTCGACGATACCTAATATCTCATAACTAACGTTTTCACTTAGCATTTATGTAGTCTAAGGAGACATTTGCTTCTTTTTTTAGTTGGCTAATAAGACATTTTTAATGTTTTCTTTGTATAATAATGTGGTGTATTATAGTTATAACAATCAAAATTACTTGAAAAAAAAAGAGTGTAGGGCACGTGCCCACCCTACTCATGCCGTAGATCCGCCACTGCTTGTAAATCCTTTTAAAAAAACCCTAGTAAATCTTTAAAAACCTTGTAAACCCTTATAAAATCCTTTAAAAATACTTGTAAATTCTTTTAAAATACTTTTAAAACACTTATAAACCTTTTTAAAATCCTTTCAAAACACTTATATATCCTTTTAAAAGCTCTTTAAAACCCCTTGTAAATCTTTTAAAAACTTTGTAAACCCTTTAAAACTTTTTAAAACCACTAATAAAATCCTTTTAAAATCCTTGTAATTCTTTTTAAGATCCTTTAAAAACACTTATAAATCTTTTTAAAAATCTTTCAAAACACTTGTAAATCCTTTTAAAACCCTTGAAAAACCTTTGTAAATCTTTTAAAATTCTTGTAATTCCTTTTAAACCCTTGTAAACCCTTATAAAATCTTTGTAAATCCATTTATTTTTTAAACAAAAAAATTTTGGCGAAAAATATTTGTCAGAAATATTTTTGGGAAAATTAATTTTTGTCATTTTGTTGTCTTAATTTTTTTCAAATAGGGGTAAAATGGTCATTAAAAATTTAAAAGAGGGTTTCTTTGACAAAATTAAATTGAAAGAGGGCATAAATGAAAATGGCTAGAAAAAAAGATATTTTAGAAATGGAGTATCAAAGAAAGGATATTTCTAACAATTTCAAAAAAAAAAAAAAAAATACATTATTTTATTTCCAAAATTATTTTAGTCAAGAAAACACATGTTTGAATAATTAAATGCTCCAGTGTCAACATATAGTAAATATTTTATATTTGACAATTTCATGATATCTTAAAATACCTTCTATATTATGCCAATGTTATTGGTTATAAATAGATTTAACATTGACCCTCAAATTTATTAAAAAAAAATATCAAAAGTGAAAGGAAAGAGAATAAAATGATGAAGCTCATAGTTTTCTTTGTTGTATCCAGTTTGTTGTTTTCTACTCAATTTTCTAATGTAAAAGTTAAATATTTGTTTTTAAGCTTTTGGTTTATGATTTCATCGAAATTAAATTTTCTTCAATTTTTTTTTTCTGTGTGTGTATAGGGTGAGGAATTAGAGAGTTCAGCTGATGCACCAGCAATCCACAAGGTATATTTTAATTAAAAATATCAAATAATGAATAATAAATATAATACAAACAAGAATATCACATACACAAACATTTGATAAATTTATTATTTTTATTTTCAAACTAGATAATTTTAGTATATTTTTATTAAAAAAATGTATAATTTTATTTTATCCATTGATTTCCATTCCAAATTTATTTACGTTATCCAACCAATTTCAGACGGGAGGAGAAGGCTCACTTCGACCTGAAGGTAAATTCTTAATTTTTTTTTTGTTTTTTCTTTATGTAGTCAATGATTTATCAAATCATAACTTAAATAATTTAATTAATGTTGTTCTATATTTTTTTTGTAGAATGTCCAAAGGCATGTGAAATTCGATGTTCAGCGACATCTCACAAGAAACCATGTTTGTTTTACTGCAACAAATGTTGTAGCAAATGTTTATGTGTACCGTCAGGAACATATGGACACAAAGAAGAATGTCCTTGCTACGATAATTGGAGGACCAAAGAAGGTGGACCAAAATGTCCATGATAACAAAAATTTATATATGAGGTCAAAATAAAATCTATTGTTATCTTTCATGAATAAAATTTATGTTGGCCATCCTTGTTATAATATGAAGTTTTCTTCTATTACAAAACTAAAGTTAAAATGCACACATAAATTAAAGGGAAATTTGGTTCTAAGTTCCAACAATTCCATAAATTTTAATTAGTCAAATAACTTAAAATAAAAAGAAAATAATTTAGTATCTAATATCATAATTAACACTTTAAAAGTTTAGTTTTCAAATTGAATTATTTGTGAATATTAATAATAAAATGATTTCTCTTTCCCCTAATTTTTTTCTTTAAATCACGGACAATTTAGACTTTCATTTTCACTCTTACAAACACATAACATGTCCTCTTTCAGTCTCATCCAAAAAAAAAATGCAATTCCCCCTTTCCTTTTCCAAACCTTTCACAACAATATCCCATTGTATTATAGCTAAGATAATTATGAACATTTTAAAATGAGCTTATTTAGGCCATGTTATTTTTTAATCGTGGTTGGTTTACATATGAGCTCATTTTAAGCATGGAACAAGTACCCCAATTGGCCAACTACACATTACATATAACATTCCTTACTTATAAGATTTTGCTTATCTACATACATATATAGATGGAACATTTTGGAGCGTAAAGTAAATGGGCCTTAAGAAGAAGTCGGCCGAAGCATATTTCTTCATTGTTACAGCATTTCAAATCTTTGATTTCTGCTTTTAAATTTTTTTTTTATATCCAAATAATAAAAGGGAAATTTGCAAAAGAAACACAAAAAAATTTATAAATTAAGAAACTAACACCTAACAAAAAAATGGGTGATATTCTCTATATTTTATATATTAATTCCAATTATGCCCTGATTGAACAACACGTTTTTCACCTATCTCTCTTCTCTTTTCTCGTCATTTTTTTTTTCAGAGTTTCTTGCTTTTTGTTGAATTGGATTCAAAATCTGGCCATCTCTTCTTCCTTTCTCTGCCGCTCTGTGTTTCATATGTTTCTCTCTCTCTCTCTCTCTCTCTCTCTCTCTCTCTCTCTCTCTCTCTCTCTCTCTCTTAATTTCTCGCGTCTCCTTCATTTTCTATCCTTCTCACAAGCACCATGTGAACTCCCATTCGATCCATCGACTTCTAAAACCGAATCTATCTGATTTGTATCAACAAGCATCGATTCATAACCTTTGATGAGTAGGAATGAGAGATCAGAACTATATTGGGAACCATAGATTTGATGCAAATAGTATAGTATTTATCCAAAATTTACTAAAGAGTATGAGTCTTTAGTAATACTATATCACTTTTAGATACAAAAATTGACATCTACGATTTGTAGGTATTGCCTTTGCAGTTTGATGTAAATTAGAGAATAAAAGTTTCTGATTCTGAAATTGACTGCTTCTTTTTATTGTGATGCAATCTGGTGTTGAAGATGAATAGATGGTGATGAAGTGAATGGATTAGAGTCGCAGTCGCCACCACCACCACGACAACCACCACTGCAATACCACCATCACCGCCGTCCGCCATCGTTGCCGACACCACCATCACCACTCCTTATCTCATCTTGTTTTCTCGTCCTCTGTTTTTACCAAACTCACAAACGCTCAGAGCAAAATCATCACTCTCTTTCACGCGTGTGTCCACACACTGAAACAAATATGAAGGAGTATTTAGACATTTTATCTCCCATATGTATTATTTACTTAATTTACCACATTGTATTATTGAGATTATTACGGATTTTGCCCTTTTTTATAATGGCATTTATGGATTTTGCTATTTTTGAATAGTTTATGGATTTTGTCCTTTTTAACACTTAAAAATGTACGTATTTATAATTTTTTTTTGTAAAAATACGTACATTATACCAAATACTAAACCCTAAGAACAAATGGAACCGACTAAACCCAAACATAACGAATGAAACGCATGTTAAATCATATTTTTGGAGCCTAAAAAAGGGCAAAATCCACAAACTATTCAAAAAAGGGCAAAATCCATAAATGCCATTATAAAAAAGGTCAAAATCCGTAATTAATTCTTGTATTATTTACTTAATTTACCACATTGTACTGCTATATTCTTAAATACTTTATCAAAATAGGTTAGTTTTGCAAAAGACCCATAATAAAATGAAATGAAATAAATTTTCATTTTATGTAATCACCGAAAAAAAAAAAAAAAAAAAGAGGAGAAGGCGGTTTATAATGCAAGCAAACTCTGGAAGGGCAAAAAAGAAACTCATCTAACAAATTTCGAGGCTTGCTTCTTGAATCTCTCAAGAAGCCGTACAGTTTCTCAGCTCTCTAGTGGAGAGAGATAGAGAGAGAGCAAACCCTAATAGCGATGGGGAACAAGAGATTCAGGTCTGATAATGCAGCAGGGAAACCAACTTCCGTCGAAGCTACTAGGATTTGGGCCACTAAGGTCATCGAAGACTTTAGAGCCTCCGGGAACGAAGGTGAATTTAGCTCCGGGAACCAAGTCTTCTTCTTTGGATTCTAATTGTTTTCTGTTTTGACTGATTCTTATCAGAAATGATTTATGAGTCTTTGAGCCTTAGATTGATTAGAGAACGCTCTAATTGTGCTGTTGGATTGAAAGACGCTTCCTTTTTTTTTTGTTTTGTGTGGGGAAAATTGATTGAATTTTCATTGCATTGTGTTGTGTAGTTTACACGTTTGAGCATAATCTATCAAATAGCGAACGTGGAGTCATTCATCAGATGTGCCGGAAAATGGGTATTCAATCGAAAAGTTCTGGGTGAGTTACTTTACAGTGTTTTGGGTTTGAGAAAGTATTCATTTTCTATGGTTTAAGACTTGAGAGTCTTGTTTCTGATTCTCTTGGATGCTTTTAATAGGCGTGGGGAACAAAGGCGTCTTTCAATATTCAAAAGTAGGCATAAGAATGGAAAGAACAATGAAGCCAATGAGAAATCAAATAAAGAGAAGCTCAAATGTGTGTCATTTCCGCCGGGATCAGATGCTATTCTGCAGGAGTTATTTACTCACTACCCACCTTGTGACGGAGATACCGCTGCAACATCGTTTAACAAGTACTCTGGTAACAAGGGTAAACAAGGACAATGGAAAGATGATTTTTTCCGGAAACCACAGATTAGCAGTGAGGAGATTCTAGAAAAAGTGGCATCTTTGAGTTCTAGACTTAAAAAGGATAAAGCTCTTAAGGAGGTTAGGAATATTCAGTTGTTGAGATGTGTTTCTTTTGTTTGAAAGGACTGTAATATTTGATTCTGTATCCAGAATACAGATTGAGATGTTATAAATCATGTCAAGTAGCAGCAAGTGAAAGGAAATTCTTTTTGTTGATTTATGTTACAGATCTCTAAGATGCGGTCGAAGCTTCCCATCACATCCTATAAAGACGCAATCACATCTGCAGTGGAATCCAATCAGGTTCTGTGAAGTTTTTGATATGTTATTTGTTAGAATTTACTAATTGTATGGTTATGCTTGCTGTGGTGATTTCCACTGCTTGAAAAAGAATTCATTATATATTCTTAAATCTAAATGCAGGTTATTCTCATTTCTGGTGAAACTGGTTGCGGGAAAACTACTCAGGTGTTTGTTACCCCTTGTTTTTTTGTAGTTCAGTAGAATGATCTCCTTAGCAATTTTGCTTACTGTAAGCTGAGATTGTGATATTAGCCATGTAAAGAGTATTCAGTTGAAATTGCCTTCAATTTTTTCATTCTCGAGGTTTCTCAAGTGCCACCATTGTTTATGTTTTAGGTGCCTCAATATCTTTTAGACCATATGTGGTCAAGCAAAAGAGAAACTTGCAAAATTGTTTGCACCCAACCTCGTCGAATATCCGCCATGTCAGGTTGAATTTTTTTACTTATTCAGCTATGTATCCTTGTTGATCTTTTGAAATTGCAGTTTTAATCCACATATACGATGTATACTGCTCACTTCTTACTTACTGTTTTTTAATCCCTGTTTTGAAGTTTCTGAAAGAATATCTTGTGAAAGAGGTGAAAGCATTGGAGAAAACATTGGTTACAAGGTTAGTAATTTGTTGGTAGACACTTGCGTTTGTACATGAAAGGGGGTTGTGTTTCAACATTGTAGACAAGTGCGCCATTGACTTTATATGTAAATTTCAGGTTCGACTCCAAAGCAAAGGTGGAAGGCACTCATCAGTTGTTTTCTGCACGAATGGCATTCTCCTGAGGGTGCTTGTAGGAAAAGGCTCTGTTAGCAGTGTTTCCGACATAACTCACATCATTGTGGTACTTTACATATTTCTTATCTGCTCCGCTATCATGTGTTCATTAAGTACGTGTTTCATATATATGATGAGTATTGCCGGAAAATTAAATTGCTTGAATAAATATTTATGGCATTGTCAACTGTCACTATGACAAGCCTTCTTGTTATTGTTTGTCATCCCAGATCCTCTACCTTTCACCTTGGCTGTAAATTTGATTATGTAGCTTTCTACATTGATCATTGCGTGAATGTCTTTGTAGGATGAAATCCATGAAAGAGATTGCTATTCTGATTTCATGTTGGCAATAATAAGGTAGACATCCTTGCCCTCTCAAACGTTGAGTTTCTCAACCTGTCAATGTGTCTATCAGTGAAATCAAGTCTATGTGACCTAAAAAACTGAGGTTAAGGCTATTGTTCAATTGTTGCCGCACCATATATTATATGCTAAATAATAAACTGGTACACATGTATTTATCTTCTCTGATGCTGCACACCATGAAAGAGGATAATTAATTTATTTTCTGTGGGTGTACGACAGAACTCATATGAATTTGCGATTCTTTTGTTGATTTGCAGGGATTTACTTCCATCAAATCCTCATCTCCGTTTGGTTAGTTAAGCTCTATGTTCCTCTTTGCTTTTCACTGCAATGATACACTTATAACAAGAGAACAAAAATGAAGAAGGATTGGCTATGTTAAAATTTTCTGTCGTTTACTAAATAGAAGAGGGGAGGGGATTGAGTAGAGGGGATGACTCTATACACCATCTCCGAAAAGAAAGGAAAGAGAGTATGGTTTGTATCTTTAAAGGTGTCTCCTTCCCTCCGGTTTTAGAAATAAAAAGACGACGCAGCACAAGTGTCGAAATATCTTTCCTGTTATCTTTTTGTGTTTGTGAAGTAACATTCCTAGAATTTTGAAAAAAAGATACTTAGTTGAAAGTTCACTGAGGACAAATGAACTCGGACAAAATTGTGTACATGGCCTAAGAACCTGAGATAGCTGGACTTGATGGCTTATTAAACACCTTTGAATACGGCCTGACTACAGTACTATATAGCTGATTTTTTGAAAACTTCTGGACCAACAGATTCTCATGAGTGCTACACTTGATGCTGAGAGATTTTCGGGATATTTTGGAGGTTGCCCGGTTGTCCGTGTCCCTGGATTCACTTATCCAGTTAATTTCTCTTTTACTCTCTATTTCTCGAATTTGGTAATTCTTTTGTGCCCAAATGTAATCTCCTTGTATTGTGTCTACAGGTGAGAACCTTATATTTGGAGGATGTGCTCTCTATTCTGAAATCAGGTGGAGATAATCATCTAAGCTCTGCCAACTTGAGTATACCAGACCACAAGCTTGATTTGACGGATGAAGATAAACTTGCTTTAGATGAAGCAATCATCTTGGCTTGGACAAATGACGAGTTTGATACCCTCTTAGATCTAGTTTCTTCTAGAGGAAGTCATGAGATCTACAATTATCAGCACCAATCAACCTGGCTAACACCACTAATGGTCTTTGCTGGAAAGGGCAGGATCAGTGATGTCTGCATGCTCCTATCATTTGGTGCGGACTGGAACTTAAAGTCTAAAGATGGTATGACTGCGTTAGAATTGGCTGAAACAGAGAATCAACTAGAAGCTGCTCAAATAATCAGGGAGCATGCAGACAATTTCCAGTCTAATTCTCAGCAAGGACAACAGTTACTTGATAAATACATGGCGACAATCAACCCAGAGCAGGTCGATGTGAGTCTTATACAGCAGTTAATGAGGAAAATATGTGGCGATTCAGAAGATGGTGCCATTCTTGTTTTTCTACCTGGATGGGATGATATAAATAAAACAAGACAGAGATTACTTGATAACCCTTTCTTCGCAGATAGTGCTAAATTTGACATTATATGTCTTCACTCAATGGTTCCAGCAGGGGAACAGAAGAAAGTTTTTAATCGCCCCCCTCGAGGTTGTCGTAAAATCGTGCTTGCGACAAATATTGCTGAATCAGCAGTTACCATTGATGATGTGGTTTATGTGATAGATAGTGGCCGGATGAAGGAAAAGAGCTATGATCCTTATAATAATGTTTCAACTCTCCAATCTTCTTGGGTATCAAAAGCAAATGCAAAACAGCGTGAGGGTCGAGCAGGCCGCTGCCAACCTGGTATTTGTTATCATCTCTATTCTAGACTTCGGGCAGCCTCTATGCCAGATTTTAAAGTTCCTGAAATCAAGAGGATGCCGGTAGAAGAACTCTGCTTACAGGTACTGCTCCTCTCATTTAATTTCTAGTTAATAGCAATCGTCTCTATGTGGCGAGCCGTTCATGCATAAGTAATCTCTTACTGATCACTGCCCTTCGATAACATTTTCAGGTTAAGATACTTGATCCAAATTGTAAAACAAATGATTTCCTTCAGAAACTGTTGGACCCGCCTGTTGATCAAAGTATTGCAAACGCCTTAAGCATACTACAGGATATTGGGGCCCTGACACCTCAGGAAGAGCTGACAGAACTAGGAGAGAAATTTGGTCATCTCCCAGTTCATCCTCTGATTAGCAAAATGCTTTTCTTCGCTGTATTAGTAAACTGTCTGGATCCAGCACTTACTCTGGCATGTGCAGCGGACTACAAGGAACCATTTACTATGCCTATGTCGCCAGGTGAAAGACAGAAAGCTGCTGCTGCAAAACTTGAACTTGCATCACTTTGCGGAGGTGACAGTGATCACCTTGCAGTTGTTGCTGCCTTTGAGTGCTGGAAAAACGCAAAAGAAAGAGGTCTTTCGGCAGAGTTTTGCTCTCAGTACTTTGTCTCTCCAAGTGCTATGAAGATGTTGGATCAAATGCGTAGCCAACTTGAGTCGGAACTTAAAAGACATGGGATTATTCCTAACGACATTTCTAGTTGTAGCCAAAATTCGCGTGATCCTGGTATACTCCGTGCTGTGCTAGCAGTAGGATTGTATCCTATGGTGGGAAGATTGTGCCCAGCTTTTGGTAATAATCGAAGAACTATAGTAGAAACTGCTAGTGGTGCCAAAGTCCGTGTGCATTCGCTGTCAAACAACTTCAACTTGTCGTCTAAAAAGTATGATGAATCTTTAGTTGTTTTCGATGAGATCACTCGTGGAGATGGAGGCATGCACATAAGAAACTGTACTGTTGCTCGTGATCTTCCTTTGTTACTTGTCTCAACAGAGATAGCTGTGGCTCCTACAGGGAGCAGTGATTCTGATGATAGTGGTGAAGAAGAAGAAGAGGAAGAAGAAGTAGGAGCTAATACTAATGAAGACAGAATGGACATACATAAAGAAGAGAAAAGGCGTGGAGCGAAAATGATGTCTTCACCTGAAAATTCAGTCAAATTGGTAGTTGATCGCTGGCTGCCTTTCAGAACCACAGCCCTTGAAGTTGCTCAAATGTACATTTTGCGGGAAAGACTAATGGCGTCTATTTTATTCAAGGTGGGTTTATAAACCCTTAAGCTTAAAACTACTCCATACTTCAAGGGTTCTTTTGATTTGATTTCCAACTGTTTATTGGCATTTTGTAGGTAACACATCCACGGGAACATTTGCCGCCTCATCTCGGAGCTTCTATGCATGCAATAGCTGGTATTCTCTCATATGATGGTCAAGCAGGACTTTCATATACACCGGAGTCTATGGGACCAAAACATTCAAGGAATGAGATGTATGATACTGGTGGATGGGAAGAGAAACCAAACTCTTTCCTCAACTCTCTCTTTTGGTCTCTGAGTTTGAAAGAGAACAAGCATCCAAGTCACATGAATAGGAATCGGCAGCATAGTTTCAACATGGCTCCAACAGAAGCTGCATCAATACCGAGGCAGCAAAACAATAAGCAAAGAAATCCCAAATCAGCAAACAATACTGGTTCAGGTAAGAAAAAAGAGAAGATGTTTGTTAATCCCACCAATGGGATCAACCAGCCTGAAGCTGCTTCTACGGGTAAGCCATCAAAGCACAAATCAGGCAACAGTTCGGGTGCAAGTAACAAGAAAGAGAACATGCCTTCTGATCAGGCCCGCGGGAATAAGCAACATAACACAGTTCCAAAAGAAGCTGCCACACCAATGGCGAAGAATCAAAGCAGTAAGAAAACGAAGACCAGGTCAGGCAACAACTCGGATTCGGGTAAGAAGAAAGACATGTATGTTCCAAAGATAGATATCCACAAAAGGCAACGCGAAGACAAAGCAGAACAGAAGGGAGATGCATGAAGATCAATTGTTTTTGGGTCCCATGAAAGCAGAGGAATTGATGATGTATAAACAATATATGTTTGGATCCATTTCACTTCGGTGGTTTTTGGCCCAAAGTGCTTTTATTTATCTAATCATGAAACGGACTTTTTACCGGTTTCATGCTGCTCTCATGTTTTCTTTCACTATCAAATCGTTTGCGGTAGTTTCTACAGTATAGATGTTGGACTCATAAAGACTCTTCTAGCAGTTTCATTTTACTTCCAGTGAGATCATAACCATTACAAACATCTAGAAATTCATTCAGACCAAAAGGATCACTGCCACGTGGCACGATGGAGCACCTATACAACCTTATCCCGACATCCAAACAGAAGATGCTCCAAAATCCAAAAACCAGCCAATGAACACAAGTCTTTTCTCTTAAAAACACTTTCATCACTTTTGGTCTTCAGGTTGCAACAAGAAAGAGAAAGAGAAAAGAAAAGAGAGAATGGCGTACAGCGCGTGCTTCTTGCACCAGAGTGCACTTGCCTCCTCCACCGGACGATCATCATCTTCCTCGTCGTCCCGTCACGTGTCCCTCTCAAGACCCGTCCATTTAGTATGTAGAGCTCAACAGTCTCAGGAAGACGATAACTCTGCTGTTTCCCGCCGTCTTGCTCTCACCTTACTCGTTGGTGCTGCAGCCATCGGATCCAAAGTCTCTCCTGCTGACGCCGCCTATGGTGAAGCCGGTATGTATGATCCCTCTTTCTCTCTATACATGTCGATCATATCAATGAGCATCATGAAGCAAATCTTGATTGTGTTTTGCAGCTAATGTGTTTGGTAAGCCAAAGAAGAACACAGATTTCCTGCCGTACACAGGAGAAGGATTCAAAATCCAGATCCCATCAAAGTGGAACCCAAGTAAAGAAATTGAGTATCCAGGACAAGTCCTAAGGTTCGAGGACAACTTCGACGCCACCAGCAATGTCTCTGTCATGATCACTCCTACAGACAAGAAATCCATCACTGATTATGGTTCTCCTGAACAGTTTCTATCTCAGGTTTCACTCTGGTTTTATAGCAAAAAAGTTCAATCAGATGATAATCACCACAACTGATGATATGTTTCTGGTTTTTGCAGGTGAATTATCTCCTGGGAAAGCAAGCTTACTTCGGCGAAACAGCCTCTGAGGTAATTTCTTATTCAAGTTAGTGAAGGAAACTGCTGTAGAGTTCAAACAAGAACCAATACCTTAAAGATTGTTACTGTTTTTTTCTGCAGGGAGGGTTTGATGCAAATGCAGTAGCAACTGCAAACATTCTTGAAACATCTACACAAGAAATCGGAGGGAAACAGTACTATTACTTGTCGGTTTTGACAAGAACAGCTGATGGAGATGAAGGTGGGAAGCACCAACTGATAACAGCCACTGTGAACGGTGGAAAGCTTTACATCTGCAAAGCACAAGCAGGAGACAAGAGGTGGTTCAAAGGAGCTAGGAAGTTCGTCGAGAATGCTGCTACTTCCTTCAGTGTTGCTTGAAACTGAATTATAAACATTAATGGAATGCTCTGTTTTCTGTTGTCTTCTTCCTCATTGTCCCTTGTATAAAAAATGGATCAAGTACACAAAACAAGCATTTGAGTACTATGAAGATTGTTCAACATTCTATGACAAGAATTGAATGACAAAGAAACAAAGAATTTTAATAAAATCAAAAGCTCCATGGCTTATTCGTGAGAACTTGTAAATTAGTAACCTAGGTCCCACTATACTGAAACATCATGTGTAGCTGAGCTATCAGGTTTCCTTAAAATTACAAACAGGGCTCAAGCCTAAACAATAGAGCAGTATGTGAATCTAAGACAAGACTGTTGATAGCCTAACAACAGATAATTTAACCTTAGAACAATCTGGAAACTGAACCCAGGGGTGGCAGAAAGAGAAAGCCACTGCAACATCAGCCAGGTTTCTCTTTAAGGAAATAACTTCACTTGGCAGAGCCTTCAGTAAGAAGGAAATCACAGCTCTTCTAATCCTATCAGCAAGAATATCCAGATAGCGGAGGCACTGTTCTTCATGGCTCTGTTTTACTGGGTTTCTCATCTATCAACAGGACCAAAATCTGCCATGGACATTTTAAACTCTGCCCGTAACATGTACAACTATGGCAGAATAGTGACGGTTGAGTCACTCATGACGAGAAAATAAATGTGGGCTACTCTCATCCCAAAACCCCTAATGACAGATCATGGAAGCCTATCCAGCATCTTTTATTCAGCCTGATGGAGCACAGTTCTACAACCTGATTGATAAAAAAAGAGACCTAATGCTAAGCACAACCCCCTGGTAAGTCACTATAAACAGGAGACTTATGCAAAGGCAGAAACAGCACTAACCATATGATACTCTGTTTGGTACAGCGCACACCTGATAAAGACACTGAACAAATCAAAACAACAGAATTCTTTGCGCAAATTGAAGTTCATCTAAAGCCCACGTTTCAGCATCATTCCCTTCACTTTCTCAGCATCTGACTCCATTCCATGATTTTTATAAGCCTTATACATAATGGCAAACGTTTTAGTCACAAGCCCATAGTTAGTCTCTGCCATCTCATTTAAAACACCTTCCATTTCTTCAAAACGTTTTTGGGATCCATACATCATGATCTTACAGTGGTAGAGAGATCTGCATAGTTTCCACCCAGCAGACTCAGCACGCTTGACGAAATTAGCAAGATTGTCAACTTCATTAAACCTGAAGTAAGCTGCAATGATTGCCCGCATAATACTTGACTTATTAACACATGTCTTATGCTCAAATGCCTCGTTGATTTTACTCTCCATTGCTTCCACAATGTCTTCTTGAGCATATAGTCGAATCAAAAGCCCGTTCAACCAAGGAAGATATTCCTCCCCAGAGAGAAGACTCAATAAATTTTCAACCTTTTGGACTCTATCCTCAACAGCTTTCTTACAATATGCACAGATCATCGCTCTGACCAAAGGACTACTGTTTACACCAACCTGATCTTTAATCACTTCATACATTTCTTCCATCTTATTCAAATTCCCAGAATTTGCATACCCACGAAGCATTAGCTGATAAGTATCTGTATCTGGCTCAACTAGACCCCTCTTCATTTCTTGAAAAGTAGCTTCCATTTTATCCCAATTCCAGGCAGTCATGTAACCAGCAATCAGAAAGTTGTAAGTGACAGAATTGGGAGAAAGCTTCAGTTTTTGTAATTCTTCGAAAGCTGCTTCCATATTCTTTACCATCAGAAGTCTACCATAAACAGATACTAGAATATTATAGGTCACAACGGTCGGAGCACAATGCGTTTGCCTCCTGAAATCTTTAAAAAGCGACTGACATTCATCAGCAAGCCCGTTCCACATGTAAACACTCATCAAAGCATTGTAAACTGAAGCAGTCTGACTTCGTTTCTTAGCCGCCTCATCGAAAAGATAGACTGCAAGGTTAATATCCCTAGCTCGACCCGCAATTTTGATTCCTTTCGCATACTCCTCCGATGTCAAAGGGATACAGTAATCCTTCTGCCCTCTCCTCCACTCTAAAACCTGAACATTAACATAACATCAAAACCTAAGAAACAAACTCAACTAATCGACAGTGAAGCTACATTCTTTCCCACAAGAACAATCCACTAACGATATACCAAAAGACCAGGGCAGAGGCAAGATTCAAACTTTATGGACTACAAGAGATAGAAGAAGAAAAGAAACCTGAAGAGCTAAGTAATGACGAGGAAAGAGTTGATCCATAAGCTCCAAGATCCCAGCACCATCACGATAACTTTTAAACAACCATTGCCCTTTTTGATCCAAAACGTTTTGGAACTTTTCCTTACTATTACCAATCGTTAAAAGCTCGTCTTTTAAAATCGAAACCCTTTGAACCAAATCAGTGTGATGAGCTGGTAAGCTAGTTACACGGGTGAATTTGCCGATAATTTGACTGCTGAATTTCATAAAATTCGATGTCATGGATTACAAATTCTCTCTTTGGATTGCTAGTAGACAGAATCGGATCTGCAAATTGTGCAGAGCCCCCCAAAATTAGGGTTTATGGTAGGAGAAGAAGAAGAAGAAGAAGAAGAAGAATAATGATAAATGAGGTTTTGGGCCTGAGGCCATAGACAAGAAACAATGGCTGGAATGCCACCGATCTAATTTTCATTTTTGAGAGAATTAAAAATAAAGCAATTTAAATCAGAAAATTATGAAAAGACCAAAAACCCATGCGACCCAACAAATTTATCCGGATCCAAGCCCATCAGACCCAAAACCATTTAATTTAGAAAACGAGATTTCAAAACTTAATTGTTTGTTGAGTTTCTCCTTTTTTTCCCCTTTACTCAAAAATCAAATCCCTAATTTCTCATTTTTTCCCAAATCGAAAATCAACAAAAATCTTCTCGAATTCGTGGAATCGAAGTGAAATTTCGTCGAGTTCGTCGTCGTGGGAGTGTTGTTTCGTCGAGTTTGTCACCGTGGGAGTGAAATTAACGGAGTGTTCGTCCCCCGATAGTAATCCTTTGAGAATCATGCCGCTGATAGTAATGGCTCGTGTTAAAGACGGTGATGGTTTGGTATACGAGTCGACGGAGAGGCGTCGGAGAGAAGAAACCGCCGGAGAAGAACCACCAACAAATGCTTCGAAGTTTGAGACTCCAAAAGGATCCGCGGAGATGGAAGTTGATCTGATAGAACCACCAACAGATGCATCGAAGATTGAGAGTCGGAAAGGTACCGCCGACATGGAAGAGGATTCCGAGAGTAAAAAAGAAACTCCGAAAGAAACTACAATCGATAAGACCGAGTTGGCCCGAGAGGCTGAGCGAGAGAATGATCCAACAGAAGGAGTTGGTGGCTTGAATGGTTCAGGAGAAGCGTCCATAGACGCAGTAGAAGGAAGAGATGGGCCAGAAGCAGAAGAACCTCTCAGAGAAACGGAAAATGTAATTGTAATGGAAAAAGGGATAGTCTCCTCACGAAGCGTCGCATGCGTCAGCAGCAGCAGCCTCCCAGAGCTGGCCTCGACGAATGTTGCCGTCATTGAGAAAGAGTAAGTTCCCGATCTGAATTTCGAGACAATTGTGCGTGACTTTTTGATTTGGATCCCAGGATTTGATTATTTAGTGATGTATCTTTGTTTGATTATTGGAAAAAGTGAGGCTTTGATTCTAGATACACCACGTTCAACTAGTGTGTTGTGATTGAATTTTAATATTTGTAATTTGGTTTTATTAGTTGGAACGACGGGAAAAGATTAACAACGAGATTTATTACCATGTCCTTCTTCACATGTAATGCCTTCTGCTTCTCCATGAGATATTGGTGCACCTTCTCTTGTTCCAATTCGGGCTTCTAGATCATCTATCAGATCCTCAAGCTCTAGGTATGGTGGAAGATCCAATCAACCTGCATATTCTATGGAAGGTGATCTGAAAAATGAGGTATGCGTTCTTACTTGGCATTGTGCACTCATGGTCATGCCAATTAGATAGAATTTAATGTCCGTTGTTTCCCATGTTTTAAAAATCCATGCCGGGCTTGCTTGATGAATGTTGATGAGGATTATGGTTCTCTTGTATTGAGATTTAAGAAAATTGTTTGGCTTTACTTTGCCATTGCTTTGATCTAGAGGATAAAATGAACAAGCTTTGGGTCAATGATTCATAGGTTCTGATTTGTTTAGAAAGTATGAAACTTTTTAGCGTGAATCTATCGGTTATGAAGTTTTGATTTCCGACCTGAGGAAGTAGATGACATTAGTTCCTGGATGAGATTTGATCCATATGAAAATCTCTTAGGCACTAAGTAGGAATCAAAAAGTCAGAAATAAGTCCCATTCATGCTTGTCTTAAGCTATGATCGCCCTCCATGTGACAAAATTGTTGCATTTTGGGTTTCCAAAACTACCATTCTGCTCTTTTAAAATTCAGCCTAGCCATTGGCCAGCAATGGTTTCACTTTTTCCTTTAGTGTAGGACCTTTGTCTAGGCTTCTTGTTTCATTCATTCATCTGCTTGAATTGGCTGGTTTTGGCTTTGCAGTGTTGCTCTGTCAAAGATAGAGAATAAGTGGAAGGAAGAGCTTGATCAAGAACTAGAAAGAAAGCGCACAAGTCAAGTCTTTTTTGTGACAATCGTGATTGTACACTACACGTACTTGTGAATTAAGATTGCACATGACTTATGTTTTTTTTATTTCATTTCTGTATTTTGTTGTGTTGTAGATTAAGAACATATTACTACATGTTTTTGTAAACTAAAAAAAGATTTAGATTATATTTATGTTAACTTGGTTTTGTAGGTACAACTAGTCTATTTAGGTACAACTATGTGTATGAGTTACTTATAAGAAAGTACAAGTAGATCACTTTGGTACAACTAAGACAATTAAAAATAACATTTAAAATTTTTTTTTTTTAATAGATTTCAAAGAAGTAGAAAAATAATAATTAAATATGATCCACGTAAGCAATCATTTTTGGCGGCGGGATATTATTTTTAAATCATCACACGTGTGGTAAAGTGGGCCAAAGATAGCATGATATTAATAAAAAATTGTTTTGGTTTAAACATAGTTGTGCCTAGTTGTCCAGTTGTACTCTCATATTCATAGTTGGACTTTAGCGATTTTTGTGTATTTCCAGTTGGACTTTAATGAAAATTAGTAATTTCTAGTTGGACACATGATATTACACTTTTAATTATCATTTAGGAGTTTTTCATAATACATTGTTCAGAAAAACTTAGTTTTCACCTCTTTTGCTTCATATGAGATGATCACTTACTAAGTCTTCCTTATATTAGAAGAAGTATTTTATGTGAAAATAAAAAATTTGTTACAAAATTTATAAATTCTGGTTGTATTAATTTTAAATACTCTATTTATATTTGAAGATCTTTTTTGGGGAATTTCTTATATAAATCTTAATTTATAACTTATTATTATTTAATTAAAATCATAATACAATGAACGTGGTTGAACTAGTTGAACTAATAATATATATTAGGAAAATGATAAATTTGATTTTTATTTATTTAAGATTATTGGTTTATAGTTCAAGATGTTTTTGGAATCGTTATTAACTCTAATTTATCGTTTTCATATTTGTTGTATACAAATATGTATATATTTATGGTCTTAGTTGTACCTAGTCGAACCTAATCGTACAAATTTGACAAATTCAAATACATATATGTTCTTAGTTATACTCAGTTGAACCTAGTTTTACAAATACGACAAATACTTATATGTAAAATGGTTATCAAATCCATCAGGAATTTTTTTTAATTAATACTCATTTATCTTCCACAATATCATATTTTATTTTGAAATTAAAATACCCAAATTATAATAACCAAATCTAATCCTCTATTTGATATAACACAATCTCACTAACAGACCAAAAAAATTTAAACAAAGCCAACTTCTAAAAGTCAAGCTGGAAATTTTCTTCTTAACATGTGGTTTCGATGACAATGTGATCAAATTTGATTAAATCTCCACGAATGGTACATCATAAGCAACCATTGTTCACCATGATTATATCATCCGAGGAAGAAGAGTGGCTCGCAACCAGAGATCCATTTCATCTACAACATAAAGCTAAAACATTTCCTTGAGAAAGAAATTGACTTTCACATCTCATTTTCTATGACTGCTATACGTTTTCCATGATTTGAAGTCAAAATATGATTTAAGAGAGATGTATGCAGATACTTACGAACAAATATATCAGAAGTCGCAGGAGGACAAATTTTACGATTTTACACAGTACATAAACACGAATTCGATCACATATCTTTCCAGAACCGAGGAACCCGGTGATATCTGTGGCGGGAATGCGAGTATCTTGGTTAAGAATAGTTGTGGCATCTTGCTTGATCTCCGAGCTCGGTACAGAGGAAAACGATTTGAGAAAGGGTTTGGAGGAATCCGATTCTCGGGAAGTGAAGCTATCGAGGAAACTAGAGAGACGATTAGAGAGCATATGGCTAGCTCTCAAATGGATGAGTCGACTTCACAACTAAGAGGAGAAGCGGGTGTAGACGAAACAAATGGCGAGCTCTTAAACTCGATTTCGATCCAACAATGGAAGAAATAAAAGAAGCTCCTGCGCCGGCGCCGGAATTAATGTCGGACAGAGAATCGAGCTCAGCAGCTCCGGAGAATCTTCCGTTTGTCGGGGGAGAGATGACAGAGATGGAAAAAATGAGATTGGATCGGTATTGGTTTCTCTCAGCTCGATTTTGATTTTTTTTTTGTTTTAAAAATTAATTCAAT